TGTCAATAAAACGCATGCTAGACTAGAGTAGATTTTTGACGTTTGCTCCTCTTTGTTTTGTGTCACCGTATGAAATTATATATTTTAAACTGTTTGGAGAATTTAACAGTCTTCTTTTTTCTAGATGGAGGTCACCTGGTCAAAAACAGGTAAACTGAATATGTCACTTCATCCAGTAAGCGACCGCTGAATAACTTGCATTTCGTGTCTGTTCTGGTTTAAGTGTCTGAAGCTTTAGTCATTTTGTCTGAAATCTGAACTTTTCAGAGAACAGCAAGGTGAAAAATCGTCGCCAAAAATACTAAATAAGATGTCCACAATAGAAGAAGTAGATGTCAAGAAAACACTAGATGAAATTGCTAAAATAGAAGGTAATGTATGCTTCTCAGGTGGCCTTGTTTTAACTTGTCAGTGAAAAAGATGTAGTCCGATCATTCATTTAACAGAAAACAGCCCAACTTACTAGCTATTAGCCCCGAGCTACTGAAGTCCTTCGCGTCCAGACTCTTCAGTCCAGGACTGTTTGCGACCTTCGACTTGCCACCAAGTTCAACTGTGAGCCAGCCTCCTTTAATAGTCCAGTTTCGAATTCGTCGCGGCCGCTGAATAGGGTTAGCCTCGACTCAAGGTCAATATATTCACAAATTCCGGTCAGAAGAAGACCTGTGTACAACTGTGTCTTTTGTTTTTACTGCTCAAATTCAGCCACCTTCTCACCGGTATAATATAGAGGCTAACCTTTTGGCGCTTTCATTTAGCGGCAACGACGAATTCAAAACCGGACTATTGACAAGGAGATCATGGCATTCGACATACCCGCTTTATATGGAAAAATTATCAGGCAAAACGTATCAAATGAAGACCAGCTCAACATCCTCTCCAAACAATCGTGTTCCCAGACCTGTATTAAACTAAATCATAGATCTCTGGCGACGAAGTCAAGAGACAAGAGCCTGATATCACTAACAAAGAATGACACTGATTTCTAATACACTAAAAACCCGCGGCTAAGAACCTGTTAGGCCGTAAAATTTGCCAGTTAGGCCCCCTCTATACAACAACCTGTTTAGCCTAAAATTTGCAACAGGTTCTTATTTTCTAAAATCTATATTATAAAAAAATTCGGTACAATTGGACAAATAAGATAAGCCAACATTTAGGATCCTCTTGGGAAACATAAGTGGCTTATCACTCCAACTGCAATGTAATGGCATGCAGATTTTATAGATAAGGAATAAGCCGAATACTAATACCACTAAATGCTTTCCTTTTAGCTGCAATGTATTTTTTCTTCAGAGAATTGGAACCCATTTAAGAACCTAAATAGACTAATTTTTGCAAATTACAATTTACGTAATAACCTGTTTGGTGAACTTGGGAAAATGTAGATTTTTAGTTGCGGGTTTTACTGTATCACACCTTTGGGAAATATTACGCGGATTTCAGCAGTGTTCTTTACAGGCCGCGGTGCATTGCGTAGAACAGTTGTGTAGCAGACTAAGATGTTACTAGCCAAGCAAAGACTTGGAAGTTATAATATAAGTTGAACAGTTTTTAACAGACAAGGAAACACTCCAGCTCTTTACCCAAAACATTTGAAATGAGTGCACGCGTGTACACATATCTTGTTAAGTCTTTAATCGACCTTTAGCTGCGGTGTGTTGGTGATCTTTTTCATGACTTTTATTTCTTTTCTAGGGGCCATAGCTGATCTGAATTCATTTGTATCATTAGAAATGGAACAATTATAACATATGTAAATAGCGATAATAATCAAACCGATAAAGTTTTAATAACGTTTAAACGAATTGTCAGAATTGTATAATGTTTTCAATTGATTTTTTGAAAAATGAACCGATGATTTTTGTAAGTGCTGTACAAACGTACTTTTTCTTGTAAGACTTGATAAACTTGAAACTGAGTGATTTTGATATATAATCTGTACGAAAAAGTGTTGTAATATTCTATGCTAAGTAGCCCTAATAATCTCAATTGCACCTGCAAAATCAAAATACAACTTTTACCTTGAAACGGGGTATTAAGCAGGGCTATTTATCATGAAAAAAAAAGAATAACTAAATTTTCCACCATTTTGGAATAAGGTGTATTGCCCGGCTGTCTAAACCTTCTCAGGCAGGTTGTGTTTTGTCTTTATTATCTTTTTATTGTGGATTTTGTTTGTGTGTGTGTGTGTGTGTGTTTGTTTGTTTGTTTCTCTTAATAAGTATATTTAACAAATAGACATTAATCATCCGTTGCCTATACTCTGATAAAAATGGCATGGCATGCAAATGTTCAAAGCTGTAGTCGAACCACGAGCATACGTGGTTGTACCACGACTTGAAGTGCATTTTCCTCACCCGAAAAACAAAGTGTCCCAAACGTTTTGAACAGGATTGTAGTTGGAATAATTGCGATTAGGTGGTTTGAAATGGTGCGAATTTAGCTTAGAAATGACATTTTCACTGCCGTCGCCCGCATGTACTAAAAAAATAACCTTGAAGACCGGAACACCCCGGTACACCTGGAAATGGATAAAACAAACAGAAAAAGCATTTATTAGTTAACAGATTAGGGTAAAGTTTTCCATTTGTGCTTTTCATTTTGGCTATCGCCATATTTTCGGGGTGGTGTTCCGGTTTAGAACATGCCGACGTCGCCATCATCGTTGCTTAACTCTTTAAACCATAAGATCAAAATTTGAATTCTCATTTGTTTCCCCTATTCATTTTCTACAGAAGTAGTGGCGAGAAGTTGATAAACTATCAAGTAATTCATCTTGTGTGATCATGTCCGTAATTCTCATGACCACTCTGTTTTACAAAGCATTGATTTTGCACCTATCAATGTAAACCCCGTGAGGGGGGAGTGCGGGCAAGGGGTGGGGATTTGACAAATTTTAAATTTTTTGATCAAATTTCCCAGGGTGGGAAACGAAAGGTTGATCTAAAGTGTCGAAAAAGCTCCCACCCCAGGGGAAAAAATCTAAACAAACAATACTATAACACTATATAAAACAGATTAAAAGAATATTTCAAACGTACGTTATTACTACTTTTATTTATGGTTAACGTAAGCTCCGTTAAATTACTCGCTGAAATTAAGTATTTTCTCTCTCCACTAGCATCTCCTATTTTGAACAACAAAATCACTCCTGGAAGATTGACTGTGCTATTATAATATTAATGAAACGTAAAATGCTTTATAACATCTGCTCAACATGTCGGAACAGGTCGGATCAGTGACCCTTAAAAAATCCTCTGACTTTCATGGTGGAATTCGATTTCAATCAAGTTTTAAAATCAGATGGGAACTTGAAGATAAAACCTTTCTCAAAATAGACATTATTACCTTCATACCTTTCTCAAAACAGCGTGACTTTCAGAAAGCCTCGAGGGACGGACTTGGTAACCGCTTCTGAATTGATAGCAGGCTTCTGTCGGTCAAAGTCAAATGTCCCGACACCGGGGTCGCTTCGCACGATCAAAAGCCCGGCAGGGGGATAGTGTCAGGCATCAAATCCCCGCCCCTTGCCCGCACTCCCCCCTCACGGGATTTACATTGATAGGTGCATTACAAGGAGAAATTTAATGCTGATCACTCTTAGGGCTTAAAGGGTTAAGGGGAATGACTGTCAATATTAGGAAGAACAAGACTTCTGAGTGAACGAAGTGTACAAAACTATTTACAATTAACAAGAGTTTATAAATGTGAGTATTGTGAGAAGAAAACTTTGTTTTAAAACTTTTTTTGTCTTGCTTTCTTTACTTTCAACTCGGCTGACAATCTTTCTGGCCTTCTTTTATAGGCACTTCCCAGTAAACGAGTATTGTCCTCAGCGTTAAGGCAGCGCCACGTTACCTCTTGACATAATACAGTACCTGTGTGTTCTTCGTCATCGTTGCCTTTTCGTGACTCCACTGACCCTGGCTGGGTACAAAGGCCACCCAACAAATTTACCTCATCACTTCACCTCATGATCATCAAAGGTTGTTTACCATTTATAAAAAAAATTCCGCAAATTTTGGTTGGAAATTTTCGTTCGTTAAGAAACTTGTAAATGGTAAATAACGAATTTCCATTCGGAACGCCGCAAGCGGGAAAACGGGACTACCTTTTCAGAATTTCTGTTTGTCCCGGGAATTTTCCAGTGGAACGAACCAAAAAAACGTTTACCATTTACGTCCCAACAGGAATGGTAAACAACCAATTTCTTTACAGTATTAGCCAATTATGTCGATAGCATGTTTATTAACTGTTTTTATGACCCTTAAAACATCGTCTCAAAATATTTCCAAAACGCTGTCATATAATTTGTTCAAACTTTGCCATAATCCATTCTGAAAAAAAAACACCTGGTACCGAGAAATACAAAGGCAAGTAAAAAACGTAATGGTGTCCTTACGTTGCCATGGCAACTCCGATGTCATTAAAACATAGATCATGGAAAATTTTCATCTTTATATAGTACAGCTGTGGTAATCTTAATCCTCGATATCCTGACGTAGTTAACGCTCAAAGTAAGGAAATATATTCCCCAAAAAGTTTAGTCGAGCCACCTTAAAGTATAATCTTGAATAGCGCTCATGCAATGGAGTTCTGTTAATCTCCTGGAGAAAAAAGGAACAAGCAAAGCAGAAAAGATTATATTTTTGCAGTTTAAGACAATGAAACTACAAAAAAGCCGGTATGTCATGGTAAATTTCACGTCCTGAGAAAGATCAAAGTCATGATAGCGAATCTCATAGCATAACTAAAGTTTATTACAATGTGCGATTATTACAATTTGCAAAAGCTTAGTTTATTACAAAGTGCGACTCTTAGACAGCTATATTGCAACAACTAGTTTCATTACGAAGTGTGATACAGCATGTTACAAACTGGCGACGGGTAAATCCTGAAAGTGTAACTGACTTATAAAAAAATTGCCACAGGTATTACAAAATGCGATGATTATTACAAATTTTCGACGGTCAGGTGCAAATGTATTCATTAAACTTTTAAAGTAATCTTGATACAAACTTTCTCAATTCTTTCTGACGCATACAATAAATCAATGGATTTACAAGAGAGTTTAACATGCTAGCCGTGCGAACCATGAGAGTCAGAAACTCTACCAGTTCGGTGTCATAAAGAAGTTTTTTATTTCCTCTCGACGACAATGTTGTTAACAGCTGATACACGGCCATCGGTAGAAAACACAGCACCACGGCACCTACAACAAGTACAGTTGTCTTCAGCGCTTTGTTTTCTTTAACGAATCTTTCAATTTCCTGTTGTGGAAGCTGCTGAGTTCTGATTTTCTTTCGGTGATGAAGAGTTTCAAGATACAAAATAACGTAAGCTACTACAATAAAAACAACACTAAAAGATATCGCAAGAAAATGCAAAGTTTTCATTACATATCTTGAAATATCATATTTTATATACCTCAATCCGCTAATGATGAAAGAAAAGAACCATGATAAAACGACCGATACCTTAATATTTCGCCTTGTGGCTATGTATAAATAATGGTTTGTATATTTAATCGCCAGCAGCCTCTCGCAAGTTACTAACATTAAATGGAGTGATGAACTTATGATAAAAGCACGTAAAAAATAGTTGTGAATCTCTTTGACCGCAGTAAAGTCGATGTTTTTAAGAACATACAAAGTTTTCCAAACAACGAATGATGGTTGCGCTATGAGACCAGTCAACAGATCAGTTACCGCTAAACAGGAAAGCAGGATGTTTGTGTTGCTCTGTAGGCTTGGTTGCCTCTTTACCACCAGGATGACCAACAAGTTAAACAGAACGGTGAAGGGACAAGCGATGCCGTTGATAATAATGTGGCCAACGGTCAAAATATAGTTGACTTGGACGCTTTGTGTCTCGTTTTCCATGACGGCAACATTCAAAATGGTGTTGGTGGTATTAATTTTGTAAATTGAAATTAGAATGAGTGGCTATACGGGAGACTTTCTGAAGCAGCTGTTTCTCTGAATTATTGTTAGTAGTTAATAAATGATTTATTCCCACACACATTCTTACCTACTTTTCCCTGTCATTACTCCAATCTTTTCTGTCATTTACCCACCAATTTTTCAATAACGGAATTAGACTAAAAAATTTTGTACTCTAAAAAATGCAAATTTTATATTTTCTTGATTAATTTATGTAATTAAATTGATTAAATCTGTCATCAAAATCGTTTCGGAAAAATAAAATTGATTTAAAGGAATAAAATATATTATAAAATGGGTATTAAATCGAAAAGCAAAGCAACAAACCAAACAAGACAAGCAAATATCTCCACTACAGTCCAAGTAGAAGGATTGCTATTTGATAGTGAAGATGATTTCTGGTTATTCAAAGGTATTGATGAAAATCTAGAAGAAATAATTAAATCAGTTGAAGAAGGTGAAATTGAAGCAAAAGATTATTTTAATAGATTCAAAACAATAAATGTAAAAGAAACTTATCATGGCGCAGAGGTCGAACTGGATAAATTGTTTAAAAATGTAACGAGATTATTAAGTTACGATGATATTGAAAAATTTGAGGCTGAATTCTCAGTATGTCTTAATTTTTATAAAAAGATTAATATCATAGAATACGGTGATTAGTTCATTACAATCCTATAACATTTTTGTTATAAGATTAATCTATTCAATAAATAAAAATGGACCCAAGATCGTGTGACAATAGTCCTGAAAAAATTCCTCCTAGGTCAAGAGAAACTACTCCTACACAAGAGGATTTAGACTTTATAGTTGATGATAGATATAGGCATGATGAGGACACTGATTATATACCAAAAGATAGGTATATTGTTACTGGAAAAGATTTCAAAAAGTTAACTAAGAAAGACCAAAAACTCGGTGCTGAATCGCTTGAATATTCATCTCGCAAAAATAACAAATACATGGTCACTCTTCCAAGTGGAAAAAAAGTACATTTTGGTTCTCCTAAATATCCAGATTATCTTACTCATCAAGATAAAGATAGAAGAGAAAAGTATCTAGCTAGGGCAACTAAAATCAAAAATAAGCAGGACGAACTTACACATAATAAACCGGAATCAGCTAATTATTGGTCAACAAAACTTCTTTGGTAATAAAAAAATTTAAAAATATAATCATATAATAAAAATGGATGAAGGAAAATTACATTACGAAATTGATCTTAATAATAAACGTATAGATAATAGTTTTGTAATAATGCAAGAAAAAATGGAAAGATTAGAATATAGATTAGGATTTAGAATAGAATATGGATTAAAAAGAATTGAAGAATTACTAGAAAAAAATCAAGAAAGATTAAACCTTTTAGAGAACAAAAAGTGATTTAAAAGAATTAGTTTTCTAAACCATAATGCAACTTTCATCCTACGAAAATCTTACCAAAGAAAACGTTATATTCAAGGAAGCTAAACTATTTAANAAACATTGAATATTTTTCAACATATATAAACTTAACAGCTGTATTCGCTGTTTTGTAGTTACGTGTGCCCTTTCGATGTATACCGGGGTATGAATTATGTCTACATGATAAAAACGACTGATGGCAGCATCCTCGTTTTGCCGGCGTATTGATTCTCGAGAAACCTAATGGTTAGGGCGTGATCTAACCCTAGGTTCGCTTTAGATAGTTCGACTTCATAATTCGTAATTCGAAAGGTTTCTTGCAAATAAATTAAGAGGCAAAGGATCATCCATTCTTTAAACGTCCTCGCTTATGACTTCAAGGCGTCTGATCATCATTATAAAAAAATAAAATCATGCATAAAATCTATTGGTATGATTTTTCATTTCTCAAACAAAAACGTTCTGTGGGAAAAAAGGCAACGCAATTTATAAGCCGGAGAAAAACGTTTCGGTCAGAGGGAAAAACATACGATATATTTGATATTAGTAAAATCATGCTAGTAGTCTATTATCATGCTGCGTTCTGATTGGTTGAGCTATTTTTTTGTTACAGCCCACTGGTAGCGAAACGCGCCTACAATTTGGTGGGCAAAAAATGATTCAAGTCTAGCTTTAGCTAGCTAAAGCTGTTTTGTCTCGATATTTTTTACCAACTAGTTGGATTTTCTAAAACAATTTTTCCTCTCGCCTTCGCCCTCATGGGCTATTGACTCATAGCCCATGAGGGCTCAAGGAATAATTATTAAATAGCCTCCCACGCAGGCATTCTTAGCCGGGGGAGGATGTGTGTTTCGAGCCAAAACATTGTCTATACGTGGGAGGCTAGGGTTATATTTTCACCGGCGAAAAACGTCTGATTAGTCGACGCGCGGCCACGTGACATTGCCAAATTCAAAATGGCGGCAATACCTCCCTCGTTTGTTTACTCCAGTGGAAAGAAGATTAATTGCTGCTTAATATGAGTTGCAAATGCATATACGGATTTTCTTAGAATAGCCCAGACTTTTTATTATCCTTTTTCACCTATTCCTATGGGATTCTTTCCCCGCGATGCTCGTGTTTTGGCCAGTTTACCGGATTCAGCTTTGGACTTGTTTAAGGTATCACTTTTCACGATCACGAAGGACAACAATATTTCTGATAAAAGCCGGGTCACTAGGAAAAACGGCCTTTGTTGACAGCTCAATGCAGCGGAGAAATAAGACACTATGGGTCCTTTGAAATTGCTTAGACACCTGGAAGTTATTTCATCTTTGTTTTTCACCGAAAAGATTGAGCAAAATTTTTTTTTCTCCAGCAAGACTTTATAATTTATAAAAAAAAAAGCTTGAACATGAGCTAAATGAACTGTGGTGTCTGCATTCATGTTCTTTTCATTGTGAACGGGTACAATTTTAAGATCAAAACTTTAAAGCCGTCTATGACCGAGCAGGTTTTTTTTTTTCTTTTCAATGGTTACTGTGCTTGATCTGAATAAGATAATGAAATTTTTTAAATTAGGGAAATAATTTATAAAGAAGAAGAGAACTTTGATTACAAATATGTTAGTTGCAAAAAATACTGATTATATCTGCTTTTTTTAGCACATAGTTTGGAAAACTGATGCGTAGTCAAAAGTGCTACAAAGGAGTAAAAACCCAGATCTTTCCATTGATAAATTTTATTGACACTGTCAGGGACATATGCTTTGCTTGAGTACACATTTGTGCGTCAAAAATCTTGTTTGTGAGGCTGCACTTTGTTTGATGCAGGATCAATCAATCTTTTCTGAAGAGAAATAAATAAAATATATTAAAATGTCACATACTTCAACACCTTAGCCAACAACTAAGAAGAAACTGAACTTCATATGAAAAAAACAAAGTGAAATTTAACACTACTTCACTGTGAAACAACAACCCCTTCAAATAATATATATTACATTAAATTTATGCAAAATGTAGACCTAATGATAAGTTTATAGGAATAGAAACAAACGATAATTACAGTGAAACTGTAGAGTTTGAATGAGATCTGTATTTGACTGTGCTCTCATAATTCTGACAGAAGATCAAAATTGGAAACTGTATATCCTACACAACTGCATTCATCGACATGATCCAACTAAAATTTCATTAAGACTCAAAGTTTACTCCAAACTTTAAACTCCTGTAAGCTTACTTTGTGATAATTTTTTTTTTTCTTGGAAAGAACTTTTGAATACTTAATAGCATGTTAACTCTATCATTCACTCGTAACTTTGCTCCAGAAAAATTAAGCCAAAAACGATGGACAGAAAAACAAAAGAATTCACAGGAAAATTACCCTGTTCATCTCCTTCCAGGATACAATTTTCAAGTAAAGAGGCAACCCCCACAGAAAGCCCTGTGTACAAAAATTTAGTACTAAAAAATTGTACACGGGCGAAATAATGTCCGCAAGTGCGGTTTCTTACGAAGAAAGTAACAAGTAAGGGAAAGTTCATTTAATATGACAAGGGGGGGGGGGATAAAGATATTGAAACTCGAAGCTTGAAATTTTAGCAGCCCCCCTCGCTAGCGGTTCAATTTTTTAGGAGCCCCCTCCTTGGTAGTCGAAAAAATTTCAGAGCCCCCCCCCCCCTCCTCCTTCAATTCCTTTGCTCCCCTGAAAAAAGATCGCTAGACTGTATTAAATATATTTACCGTTATTGTCTTCAATGGTTTATACTATGACAAACTTGAGATACAGTTGTGATACAATTTTCTAAAGCATTTTTGGGATGAACAAGAGTGTAATAATTACTGAGACTACATTTGTTATATCTGTAAACCACGTGATATAGCTGAGTTGCACAGGTCATTAAATTGTTGAGTTGAAAACCATCCGATCTGTATGATGATGTCATGTGTTGGTTTTGAAGTATACAAATTTTCGGAGTCCCCCCTCCTAGCGCAACAATTTTTTCAGAGCCCCCCCTTCGGGTGTCTAAAAATTTTCGGAGCCCCCCCTCAATATCTTCATCCCCCCCTTGTCATATTAAATGAACTTTCCCTAAGTCGTTGTATGGATAATCCCAAGCCAAGTTTATGAGCAAAATAATCTAAACTTCGATCCTTCAATTATAAAATTGCAACCCTAAATGTACAGAAGCTGTACACATTCTGTAAACAGAATTTTTTTTACAAATCAAAATGTTGCTGGACCTATCAAACTGTAGCTCCAAGACAGTCTAAGCGTTTAATGAAAACACTCCCACATTTTTTCATTCGACAGTTCGGTTAAAACTCAAATTTCTTTCACATACAAAGCTGTAATAATAGGACCATTTATACGAGGAAAAATAAGACGCGTCTTATGTAAGACGCGTCTTATTTTTCCTCGTATAAATGGCCCTAATGTGCAACAACAATGAAATCTGCATCGATCGACAACATAACGTTTCGAACTACGCACTTTAGAAAACTGCGGCAAACCCGGTCGCTTTCGATCCACTAGCCACAAGACAATTTAAACAGCAAGACAATCGCTAAGAATATTAATTTACCTTCTTTATAATTTCCCTTTGTACCGAGTGACACGAGATTAACTTGAACCAAGCGTATCGAAAGCGTAAGCTTATTTTTCTGCCATAAACGGAGTAAACACACACACAAGGAGATTTAGCATCTAAATATAGTTTTTCCAGCAACAAAGTACTAGCTAAGTCATATTAACAAAACAAAGCCCAAAAATGTCTGTCCCTCTACTTTTTTTGGTTGAATCCGTGATAAGAAACTTGAACTAAACAACAAAAACATTTTGGATAGCGTTGTAATACGCTCTTTTCGATCAACAGTCGAATGTTGTCGAATGTTAGATTCGCAAATTCGAATTTTGACACAAAAACGGGATACACATTCAATAAAACTGACGCTTTCGTGCAACTCGGTACAAGCTAATTTATATACCAAAACAAAGCCCAATAATTTTTCTTCCACTACTTTTTAATTTCTTTTGGTACCGAGTTGCACGGAACATGCAGTAAACAAAGAGAGTAAAAATTACCCACCTTTTCTGCATGTCTTCCACATGCAAACCAGCGATCTTAACGTCAACAACACTGAAACAGACCATGCCACTGCGATTTTTCGCCAGTTCCAGGACGATATATTCTCTAGAGAACACACTTCCGTCAAAACTTTGATGAAAATAATTTTTGATCTCTTACAGTGGCAAGAAATTGCAACGCTGTCACTGCCAAAAAAAGCTGCCATCGCTTCTTTCATCTCAACAACATTTCGCGGGTATTTTTGACTCAGAGCCAATGACATTGCCCGAAATAGATCACGTGCCATTTTTAGTAGAGCATGCGCAGACATTTTTCGCCGGTGAAGGTGAAGGGTTATATTATGAACAAGGAAGGAAAAATACTTAGTACGTAATTATTGAATGAGGCTGAGTACAATTTCCGATCAGTTGTGGGCTTAGTATCCTAGACTTTGAGAAGACGTCAGGCTAAGGTTGACCTTGTTTTGATATAAACCTCTTTTCTTTTCTTATGGAAATTATTGTTAAAATTCGCGGTTAGCATACGAAAAACCTGATTTACATAATATAGTAAGAAGGTTTGTATCAAAACAAGGTCAACTCCAGCCTCGTTTTCACCTGTTACTGTAAAATGGGCTATTCTTCAGATCATAAAAAAACCGATTCGGATCATTATACCGCCCACCTACCCCTCCCCTAAGCCAACATTAACACTTAATTCTCACTTAGGGTAAAATGTTGGCTTAGGGGAAGGGTAGGTGGTCAGTTTCCCAGAAACGTATGATAATCAACCGATTCAATAAATGTTCTATTATTCATTTCAAAGAATTCATACTTAAAAAAACATTCTTACTTCGATCAATGTAAATTCCTGTCTTGATTTGCCTGTTACTGCCGGGGCAAATTCTAGACTTAAAGGGATGTTTGTAGTGAGATATTCTTTAAATAGTAGTATATTTTCTTTTCTGTCACAGCACGACTGCGCTAATATAACAACGTTTCATGGAGGATGCATGTAAAATTTACTCTCTCGATATTTTTCAGTCTAAACTTGCTTGGGGGTCCGTAAAATTTCGATTCCACGAGAATTCCCCCTGCGTTTGACAAAAGATAAATTGAGCAGGTTGGGATAATTGCCATTAAAGGCATTTGAAATAGTGCGAAGGAAAATGAATGATTGTCAAGACCAGGAACTGGCAAGACCTGTCCGGACAGACCAGGTTCATGACTCTGTAAGGACGAAGTGTCTATAGCTCTTTAATGTTTAATATAGATTTAGCCAGGGCTAAAAGCGATGCCTCCGTTTTAATACTTATAATAAAAACAATTAAATTTAAACTAATAAACTCTAAGCCACTAAAAAGAAACCTTCAAATCCCTACTTAACTTTAGGAGCCTTCTGCATCTCTTTACCTTTTGAGGGAAAAAACTCTCACAGCAAAGCGAAAAAAGTCGCATGTTTACAGCAAAAAAAAAGACACTATGCATGGAGTTGGATTACAGTAGAAGAATTCTTCCACTCTACGCATACACAGAAGCCGAAATCGGAAATAACCTGGTTCCTGGTATATACATCATCAAATCCTCCACTACACCGCTTTACGAAGTTCTAGGTCTCTTTAGTAGGTTACGGATTTCTAGAGTCAGTATTTCTGTCTTTAAGGAAGATCCACCGTATCTTCCCCTGGGTCTCCGAGCCAAGGATACGTTAGATTCAGCGAAAATGGAATATGTCATTAGCCTGTCATTGACAAAATGCTCTGAGAGATAGTTTTCATCATGTCGTAACCAGAATGGTTCAGTATAATTTTTGAACGAAATCTCTGCTCTGCTGTGCAAACTTTAACATTTATTTTTCACAGTTCCTATCAATTTACACACAGACAAACTATTTGTTGTCTTAGTTTACAGGGTTAATGGAGTGGGAAAACCGCAAACTAAATACAAACTTTCTCATTTCTTTCTGGCGCATACAGTAAATCAGTGGATTTACAAGAGAGTTTAACATGCCAGGCGTTCGAATCACGATACTAAGAATTTCCTTCATTTCTCCAGAAGCAAAAAGGAGGAGTTGATTTTGCTTGGATAATACTGTTGTTAAGAGCTGATATACAGTCATGGGTAGGAAACATAACAGGACGGCACCAACCACAAGTACAGTTGTCTTCAGCGCTTTGTTTTCTTTTACGAATCTTTCAATTTCAGTTTGTGGAAGCTGTTGAGTTCTGATCCTCTTTCGATGGCGAAGAGTTTCGCGATACAAAATAATGTAAGTTACAACAATAAAAATAATACTGAAAGACAGCGCAAAGAAATGCAAAGTTTTCATTGCATATTTTGAAATGTCGGATTTTACGAAACTTAATACTCCAGTTACAAAGGAAAAGGACCAAATTGCAAGAACCGATACCTTAATGTTTCGCTTTCTGACTATGTATGAATAATAGTTTGTATATTTAACGGCTAGCAACCTCTCGCAAGTTGCTAACATCAGATGAAGAGATGAACTAATAGTAAGAAAGCGTAAAAAATAGTTCTGAACCTCCATGAATGCAGTAACGTTGACGCTTTTTAGCACGTAAAAGCTTTTCCAAGCGACGAACGATGGTTGCACTATTAAACCAGTCAACAGATCAGTTACCGCTAAACAAGAAAGCAGGATGTTTGTATTACTCTGTAGGCTTGGACGCTTCTTTACCGCCATTATGACCAACACGTTCAGCAACACTGTGAAGGGACAAGAGACACTGTTGATAATTATGGCTCCAACGGTGAAAATAAACTCAAGTTGAACGCTTCCTTCTGTCTTGTTTTCCATGGTAGAATTGCGCACAATGTTGTTGGTTGTGTTTGTTAAATTGGAATCAGAGAGGATCTCCATAATTGAAATGAAACTTTCTGAAGCAGCTGTCTCTCCGATTTGTTCTTTAAGACTGAGGAGAATGTTACTTTATAATAGTGTGCAATTAATAAGTACTTTTTCAGGCTTTATTTTCTTAGTAAATGCATCGAACTCATGCAGCTGTCAAGTATTTTACTAAATATGTCACACCGGCTAAATTGCTGATAAAATTTGCTTAGAAAATGTTACATCGCTGAGTCAGAAATGCCGAGAAGTTGAAAAATGATAATTTTCCCCTAGTGTAGGGATTTCGTTGATATTAGCAAAAGTGTGAAGTGCAGAAAAGATATAAAATCCAAGTTATCGTCAAAATAACGTAATTTTAAATCTGAGTAATGGTCAATTATTTCGCTTTCTTTTAAACTTAAGGGTTTTCAGAACTTGAAAATGCCCTATTATTTGTAAACTCTATTTATAATTTATATTTATAGTTTTAATCATTTATTGCCGGGTTTATTTGATGGCGAATGGGGACTATTA